TCTTTTCGAATAAAAGTGAAAATACTGAACTTATTAAAAGGTTTATTGTGCATATTAAAAATCAGACCAACGAGAACATGAAGGGGATTCAAAGTGATAATGGCACCGAATTCAAGAATGCTATCCTGGATTATATTTGTGCCGAAAAGGGTATATTGCGTTAGTACATTGCTGCTCGAAACAGCTCAACAAAATGGTATGGCGGAGCGGTGAAATTGAAATTTGATTGATGCAGCAAGGACCATGCTTTGTGACTCCAAATTACCAGTCTTCGTCTGGGCTGAAGCCATTAACACGACGTGTTATGTTCAGAAGCATGTTTTGAGCAACAAACAGCGGATGAAGACTCCATATGAAATTATACATGGTCATAAGCTAATGGTTGCTCAGTTCAGGATTTTTGGATGCCCTTGTACACTACTTCACCTGGAATCAACACCTAAATTTAATTCAAAAGCCGATAACTGTTATTTTGTGGGATATGTTGGACGCATGGCTTATCGAGTCTATAAGAAATCCACTAAATAGATTGTGGAGTAATTCGATGTGCGCTGGCTGGAAGAAAACATATTCTGGAGCAGACAGACCTGAGAACATTACATCCAATCATAGTAAGATATCAACCATATTATCCCAAACAGTGTTCAACGTGATTATCCTATCTAAAACATAATTGGTCCACTAGAAAGCAGGGTTCAAACCAGAAATCAAAGTGGCGATGTCAACGATTATCTTTATTCGTGCTTCAACTCCCAAATTGAACCAAAGAGTGTGGCCATGGCATTAAATGAACCGAGCTGGATAGATGCAACGCATGAAGAACTAAATCAGTTTGAGAAATTGAGAATATGGTAGTTGGTAGACCTACCAAAGGGCAAGAAATCTTTGGACACACGTTGGGTTTTCAGAAATAAGCAAGATGATAGCGGGTTTATTGTGTGCAATAAAGCTTGTTTGGTCTTTCACGGATTCAGGTAGATAGGGGGTCATTGACTACACAAAAGTATATACTCTTGTAGCACATTTGGAAGCCATTCACATATTCTTAGCATATGCTTCCTACATGGGATTTACAATTTATCAAATGGATGTCAATACAGCCTTCGTGTACGGAGTTGTGAAGGAGGAGATTTATGTTAATCAACCACTAGGGTTTATCAATCCAAAGTTTCCAAATCATGTTTACAAGCTGGACAAGGCTCTATATGGGTTGCATCAAGCTCCTAGAGCTTGGTATGCTACTCTAACCAAACATTTTCTTAAGCACGGATACCCAAGGGGATCGATCGATCAGACCTTATTCACCAAGAAAGTGAATGCATACTTGATTGTTATACAAACGTAGATGATATCATCTTCGGGTCGACCAACACAGAGTTATGCAGAGAGTTCGAGAATATAATGAAGAAAAGATTTGAGATGAGCTCACTAGGTGAGATGACAATGTTCCTAGGGTTACAGGTTCGATAGGATTCGGCTGAAATTTTATTGCATCAAAGTAAATATGTGGAAGACATACTTGAAAAGTTCAATTTTAAAGATTCAAAAATTGCTTCAACTCCTATGTCAGAAAGGCCTCTGCTGAATCCAGATACAGATGGGGAATCCGTAGATCAAACTGAATATCAATCGATGATCAAATCTCTAATGTATCTAACTACCAGCAGACCTAACATCATGTTTGTCATCTGTCAATGCGCCCGCTATCAGGCTAATACTAAACTTCACCATTTAATTATAGTTAAAAGAATTTTTAGGAATCTTAAAGGTAGCCCTAAACTAGGTCTTTGGTATCCTAAAAATTCTGATTTTGATTTATATGTGTTTTCTGACAACAATTATGGAGGGTGTGATCTTAACTAGGAAATTTACATTAGGTGCGAATGTCAGTTTTTAGGGGACCGATTGGTGTCATAGAAATGCAAGAAACAACAAATGGTGTCAACCTCAACAACTAAGGTTGAATATGTTGCTGCCTCGGCTTGCTGCTCTCAGGTTATCTGGATTCAACATCAATTTTTGGATTACAGTTTGAATTTTCTTGACACTCCCACTTTTTGTGATAATGATGCGGCCGTTCAAATTGCTAAAAAGCTAGTTAAACATTCGAAGACCAAGCACATTGACATTAAAATTCATTTTATTCAAGACTATTATGAGAGTAAACTCATTCATTTGGAACAAATTCACACTGATAACAACGTGGCAAATTTGTTTACCAAACCCTTCAGCAAAGCTCGTTTCGATGTGCTTGTAGGCTTTCTAAAAATGATTTGTTTCAACGATTAAGTTTTTACTTTTATTTTATTTTTATTTCTATTTATCTATATAAAAAAATTAAAAATATGTTTTCTATCGTAAGTACTTTTGGGAAGTGATATGAAGTTTAGTGTTAAAAGGGAAATATGAAATACATGTAATTCACTGAAACTAAATTGTTTAGACTCTATATTTAATGTGTTGGTAGGCACGAAGGATTCAAAAGGACTAGACATAGTTGATCATGAAATGACTGGAGGATGTGGACTTAGATAGATTCATTTGGACTGACGATACGACGCTCAGATAGGTTGAGCGGTGACATAAACATGGGAGTTTGTGAGATACATTAAAGTCATGTGTATCTAGAATTGTGGCTTAACATTTTCTCGATGTATGGATTTATTTCCTTAATTACGGAACTGATAAGGTGACTAGGGGGTTCTGATAAAGTAGGTATGTAGAAAATTATTATCTTGCTTTCTATCTATCAGTCATATGTTACCTCTGCGTGATTAGGAGATCCGACTTGGAATGTAACATATGCAACTCTATCTCTATGTATCTTCTTATCAATGCAATTCTTCCTATATGTTAGTCAAATATTGTCTCATTCACGTGATTGGAATAAATCCGACCTGGAACACAGCATATGCAACATTCTACCTTTCAACCCCTCAATTTGTGTTAGTCACATGTTGTCCCCTCCGCGTAATTGGAAAAGATCTGAACTGGGGCACAACATATGCATTTCTAAATCTGATTTCTCTCTTAATGATTATCTACTCACCAAAAATAAAGAGTTCTTTGTAAGTTCTTGATTACTGGGGTATATCGGGATGTGGGGAACACATTATAGTGCATCTAAAATTGAACTATTTAAAAGGTTTTCTGTAGATCTCGTTGCTTAATTTAATTGGACAACAATATCCTTGGTTGTCATCAGCCAAATGGCCTATTTAGAAATATTATTTAGGAATATGATCACAACGATTTGTTACTGACAATCTGTCCAATTTGTCAATATCCTTTATGTTTAAGTTGATCACAATATTGGTGATTGACCAGAGCTATACATACAGGTGTGTGCTAATAAACGATATTGAATTGCTTGACAACTTTGATCCCAAAAGTCTTAAATCTAGTTATTATCCTAGTTTTTGTAAATTTTGTTCATATTTTTCCTCTTTGCACAAATTTAGGGGGAGAATTAAAAAACAAACAAAACTCTTAAAATTTAAAAAAATAAAAAAATAAACATTTAAAAATACAAAAATATTGCTCTTAAGTTTATTTTTTCATTGAAGTGTGCTTATTTTTGAATTTATTTTAAATTTAATTTTGTATTTTGATTTTTAATTAAAATTTTTTTAATTTAAATTTAAATTTTATTTAATTTTATTTGTTATTTATTTTAAAATTTAATTTCTTATGTTTTTAGAGTCATTTTTTATTTTAAGCCCAATGGACCGTGAACCCAAATTTCTTAAGTATAAAAGCCTTGATCTTTTGTTTTCACTTCCTTTCTCCATGAAAACAAAAGAGGAGCTACCCATTTTTCTCTCAAAAGCCCTTTCTTCAAAACCCTAAACTGTTCAAAGTCTCATTTTCATCTCATCAAGTTCGATTGACTGCTATTTTGTGTAGGTATACTGATTTTTAGATTAATGTTTCATGTGTCATGTTTTTTCGTGGAAATTTTTGCAGAGTATTCGAAGGTTTTTTGATGCATTGACGATGGTTTCCGGTGAAGTTGTCGATGATGAATCGTTGGGTTTTTTTTTTGGGTTTTCTCTCTGACCCGGATCCGACAGGAAAACCATTCTATTTTCCCATAAATGATGAAACCCATCAGCTATGTCCGTAAACTAATAAACCCAACCGTAAATGCGTTGGTCAACTGTGGTCTATTCGTGAACATTTTGGTCAACTGGCTTATCCGTAAACGGTGTAGTCAAATGTGGTTTTCCCATAAACGATGGAAGCTTTGACTTTGATCGTAAACGCTTGATCAAAAGGAGTTTAAAAAATTAATGTTGAATTGAAATCAATATTTTTTGGCAATATTTTTTATTTTTAATATTAGCTTTTTATTATTCTTACTTGACTTGTTTGGTGCAGATAAATGGCAGATCCATTAAAGTTCTATGAAAATCACAATGCTGTTGGATTTCTTATGGACCGTCGTGCTGCTCATCGAGAATTCAAATCCATGATTGTGGGTTTGAATAGTTGTAGAATCTCTCACACGTTTTTTTTTTCCAATCCGATCATCTACAAGGATCTAATTGCTGATTTCTAGCAAAATGCCTCAATTTATGATCAGGGAGTGGATGGAGCTGGTTCTATTGATTCATTGGTGAAGGGAACCAAAGTAGTCATTTCTGAGCAGATTATTCGAGTTGTACTTAAGGTTGATGATGCTCATGCGTTTCCAATTGAGTATCATATTAATTAAGTGAAGGAAGTCCTTGAGAACATGTGTTATGAAGGAACCTACCCTCCTACCCTCAAGAAGATGTTGCCACCTTACTGGAGATTTTTGGCACATTAGTTTGTAAGTTGCATTTCTGGAAAGAAGAGCGGACTTGATGAGCTTAGTAAGATTGCAAGCTCAGCCATTGTTGCATTAACAATGAATTAGGATTATAATTTTTCAAAGTATGTTTTTGGAGAAACGAAAAGGAATCATTAGGAGAATAAGGAAGGATAAATTCTTAATGTATCCCAGGTTTGTTCAAATGATCCTCAATGAAAATTATTCCCAAATAGAGAGGTCATCTGACACTTTGGATATGAAAACTTTGGGTCCCAACACCTTTGGACTCATGAAGCAATCTAGAAATTCTACCAAATTCATTTTTCAAGGATTAAAAGAGTTGGTTAAATTTGGAAAGTTTGCAGAGATAGAAGCTGTTCAAGCTTCTAGAACTCTAATTGGAACAGTAACTGAAGAATATGTAGCTCCAGCAAGATCAAATCTCAGTTCTTCGTTTGAGGTTGTTGATGATTCGGATGATGATGATGCTAATGATGGTGATGATGACTCTAATGATGATGATGATGCTGATAATTCTAATGATGATAGTGATAGTGATGTATCACCGAAGCAGCCAATCAGTAAAGATGTGGATACTCCAGCTGAGACAGAAAATGATGTCAATATCTTTAAGCGTTCAAAAAATCCCACACCCAAACAGATGGATGCACTCATTGCTCAACTATAGTCAACTGCAAGGAAGCCCCCCCAAGAAGTTCCTATTATTTCTGATTCTCCATCTGAGAGTGATAAAATTGATCCAAAAACCTCCTTAGCGCTAAGAAAGCAAAAACGTAAAGATCCAAGGCCAGGAGTGCTATCTACTGAGCCACTATAATAGCCCTCTCCAATTGCTGAGCCCAATCAAGTTGCTCATGATGCTCAGAGTCCGATTATTGAGCCCACTCAAGTTATTCAAGATGTTCAAAGCCCAATCATTGAAACAACCCCAGTCTAAGAAGATGTTCAAAGTCAAATGGTTAATGCGGAAACATTTTCTTCAAGAGTTATTCTGTCCCACCTCCTCCAAAGCACGATGTTGTATCTGTGAAACTAACCAAGTTATTTGCTTTTCAAGATTCCATTTCTCAGTCCAAATGAAAAGGAATATCTATTGGCTCCAAGAAAGGAAGTGATGAAGACTCCAATCAAACTGTCTCTGAGCTTAAACAAGAGATTATGATTTTGAAGCACGAGTCCTTTGTGAAGGATTTTTGATTGGTAGTCTGGATGTGAAAGTTTCTAATCTTAAACAGGAGAACTCTGTTAAAGATTCTAATATTTTTGAACTTCAAGCAAATCTTGGTGGTATAACTGATTTATTCTTTGACATGAAGCAACACTTACATCAGAAATTTGGTGATGATTTTCAACCTTTAAGAGCCGAAGGCGAAAATATTTCTGTATCTAGCTCTGATCTAATCACTCCAACTTCTCAACATGTGAGTGAAAGAGCTGTTTAACCTGCTCCGGATGTGAATCTTGACACTTTTTTATCTTCTAGTCCTTCTTCTGCTCAAAAAAGAAGAGAGAAACAAGCTCGAATTAAGCAACTGAAAAGGAAGATGTTGGTGATGAAACATTCAGATCTGAATGCTCCAGGAGATCACCCTGGAATGTTTTTAAGGTAAAATGGGAAGAAATTTACTGACAAGTATGGAGATCACTCTGGTATTTTGATGTGGGGATATGATGCTGACAAGAAAATGTGGGTCGTGAAGCGAAAGAGCAGTCGAATTGAGTATTACGAGAAGCCAACTGACTTTATGTCCTACACAAAAGTTGATCTTACTGAACTTATTCATGCTCCTTTCAACGATCCAACAAATGACTCCATGGCTTGGGATTTTAAGAGGTTTCTTGAGGATTAATGTGACAACCCGAAGTTTTTCCATCGCCGTAACCCATTCCGTCCATAAAATTCGGTTCTTTCGAATTGTATCCGTTTAAGTTTTAAATTAAGTAATTATCTTTGAGATTTATATTATGACTTAATGGATGTCTAAACACATTTAGAACTCATTTTAACACTCCATATTAGTGATCGGAAACATTTTAGTTTCAACCATATCGGGTTACAACATCTTAATCGGGTGCGACCAAAAGCCCCGTTTAACGTTGGTATCGGGTAGAATTCCACCGTGTCCCGAACTTAGGACCTATTTAAAGGAGATTAAGCTTCCATTTGAATCTTTTTCCCTCTCTCACTACTCTCTCTCTAACCTCTCTCCTCAAACAAAAGATCTAAGTCCAAAAACATTAAATTTAGGCTTCAAATCTTCAAGGTAACTTCCCTAACTTGTTGTTCAACCTCATTAGCCTTCAAATCAGAGTTTAATCTATGAAAAAGGACCTCATTCATGAGTTTACGGACCTGGAGCATGCTTGGGCCGTAAACACATAAAAAGTGTGTTTTTGAGCCTTAAAACCCCTCTAAACCAACTTTAGGACTTAGATATGACTTTATGGCTTACCAATTCGGACTTAGAACACCCTAAACATGATTTTTGAGGAGTAAACATGAGTTTACTACCCAAGAACATACTTGGGCCATAAACTCATCATTCTTGAAGAGTAAACTAAAAAACAAGTGTTTAAAAGCCATTTAAACACATCATTAGCCTTGGAATAAATCCTAGAACCAACCACAATCGATTTGAGGACCTTAAACATAATAAAAACCCTCGATTTGAGTGTTTACAACCATGACCCCCAAGGATAGGTTCCAGGGCCGTAAACTCACATAAGCTAGTCAAATGGTGCCCAAAATTCATCCTAAGGCTTGTAAAAATTGTCTAAATCACATGTGATTGTCCTAGCCACCAAAACACATAAGGATTGTATGTGTGGGGAGTTTATGGCCATAAACTCCTAGTTTACTACTGTAAACACCATTAAGTGGTCCATATGTGGGTTAAATTCATTCCTATGCCTTAGATTTGATCCTAGCTAAATTCCCCAAGTGATATCTGACCATATAGCACCTCAAAACCCACCAACCATGAGTTCACGGCCGTGAACTCATGTAGACATAGTCTTAGGGCCGAAAACTCCATAAGGAGTTTACTCTTGGAGTCCACCCCGGAATGTTTCCGCCTTCGGTTTTCGGGTGTGACAAATTGGTATCAGAGCCCTTGTTTATAGTGAACTCAGTATACCAGACCTTACATGGTATAAGACTACAAACACTAAGGGGACTAAGTGCTCTGAACTAAAAGTATCCTTCAAAGTATACGTATTTTCAAAAGTATACAAGTATACCTAACTGTCGAGATCCGTAACTACAAGTAGAACAAAGCATAAGTAAATGGGTGTTGTATGCTGTGGTTAAACCTGGGTAGTTATGTAGTCATGTCTAGGATCAATATAGCCTGGCCAACTATATTCATTCGATACACGACCAGCATGTGCTTGGGAGTGACTATGGTGTGCGGCATGCCTAAAACTTACCCTAATATCCCAAACATCAAACCGTGGTCGTAGCGAATCATGAAATACTATGGGAGTATTTCTCGAGTCAATCCTTGTTAGAAATCCTAAATTGAGCGTTGTTCCCTGATCATTTCTCTAGTGATAAATCATCTGTTTTGCTAACTACTTCCTGTTTTATCACTTATTCGGAATATATAACTGTCATATCTCTTGATTCAATTCGGAGGACTTATCATCCTCTCTTTCCTGATCTTATTAGATCAAGATGCCTTCAAGAAAGAGACCCATCTCGAAGACCAAAAACAACCCCCCTCCACCACCACCTTCTTTTCAAATCGATCTGGTAAGCCTTCAGACACTTTTTACTGCCGCAGTGACAACATCCATGTCACAAAGGAACCCCAGTAGTTCAGGATGTGATCCCCAATCCTAGAACCTAAAAGATAGTCAAGGACACCGAAAAGGGGGTTCTTATAAAGACTTCATGAATGTGAAACCCACATTCTTCGATGGCACTGGAGGTGTCATTTCCCTAACTCGATGGTTCGAGAAAATCGAATCTAATTTTGAAATTTGTGCTTGCACTGAGTCGGATAAAGTGAAGTTCGTCGCTTGTACCTTCATCGATAAAGCCTTAACTTGGTGGAACGGCCGAGTCAAATCCTTAACTTTACCTGTAGCTAATGCTATGGGTTGGGAGGCCATGAAGGATCTTCTCCTTGTCGAGTACTGCCCACGGGGCGAGATGCAAAAGTTGTAGCATGAACTATTGAATCTAAAGACGCAAGGTTCCGACATAGCCGCTTACACTTCAAGGTTTGACAACTTGGCGCTACTCTGCCCGGGAATGGTTACCCCGGAGAGTAAGAAGATAGAGAGATTCATCTAGGGGTTGACCCAGCCAACCAAAGGAAACGTCTTAGCTGCGAGGCCGGATACTTACGACAGCGCCAAATGCCTTGCGCAAATTCTGATCGACCACAAAGATAACCCTGATGAGGAGACCACCGTTCCTGGTCTAACTAAGAGTAGTGGTGTAAGTAAAAAGAAATTCTGGAACAAGCGGAAGGCCCAAAGTACACAGGGAACCTCTAAGAAAAAAGAAACGATAGCAGTCCACGCTACTACTGTCCCTACTACCATCACTGCCGTTGGATCTACAACTCAGACTCCTACTAGTGGATATACCGGTACCCTTCCTTGGTGCGACAAATGTAGCTATCATCATCGTACTCCTGGACCGTGTCGTGAAAGACTCTGCAGCAACTGTGGCAAGAAGGGCCACCTTGCTCGAACCTGTAGAAAACCAGCCAAATCAACAATCCAATCATCTGGAGCAGGTGTCAGTCGGGCCTGCTACGGTTGCGGCGAAGTAGGGCATTTCAAGAGAAATTGCCCTAAAGCAGCAGCAGATGGCAACGCTGTAAGAGTCCTAGCTATAGGACAAGGTGAGGCAGCCGCTGATCCCACCGTTGCCACAAGTATATATATTCTTCCTCGACAACCCTTATACTCACAATCCTTTTTGATTATATGGTTGAAAGAAAATTTGTTATCCATTCAATCAAAACCTCACCTTAACCGTAGTCCTCCATTAGTAACAGAAATGTCAACCGTCGAGGTGTCTAACAACGAGAAAGAGAACATTAGCGATATATTCGTGGGTTGAACTCTTACCCTCAACAATCATCCTTTTCCTATGGATCTTATGCTATTTTTGCAATTAATAACTTTGAAATATTCATTAGCATGGATTGATTGAGTCTCAATCGTGCTGATATCCTTGTTTTGAAAAATCTATCCATCTTAGCCTTCCCCGGCCAAACTCTCAACATCGGAGACGATAAACTTAGTTCCAACTGTTCTACCATTTCGTATGTCAAAAGCCCGAAGGGCTTCCCAAAAGAGTGTGCCATAATTTCCTAGCCTAATTGACCATTGAGAAATAGGAAGTGCATCCCCGAAGTCTACAATTTTCCTGGCATCTTTTCCTAAAGAGCTTCTAGGAATTCCTCCCGAGTGTCAAGTCGAGTTTCGCATCGACCTAATTCCTGGAACTACCCTCGTAGCCAAACCCTGATGTCGATTAGCACTAGCAGTAATGCAGGAGTTATTTAGTCAGCTTGATGAGTTGACCATCAAAACCGATATCCTCTTTCCTTGATTAGATGACCATTTTGATCCACCTCAGAGAACCAACCACTTCTGAAAAATAAACCTTACGACAAGATACCATCAAATACAAGTCCATGAGAGTGATGTTCCTTAGACAGTATGCCAAACTCAATACGGTCACTATAAGCTCATAGTGATGCCCATCGATTAAACCATTTCCCTTGGTCATGTAGTAGACAATGAATACATACGTGTGGAATCCTCGTAAAATCAAGAAAATGGAGAAGTAGTTGGCACCGAAGATACCCACAGAAACCTGTCAATTCTTGGGTCTCGCTAACTACTATTAGAGGTTCATCCAGAATTTTTCCTGAATTGCCAAAACCTTAATCATTCCGACATCGAAAGATGTACCCTCTTGTAGGAGGTCTTACTTTGGAAAGACATGGTATGACTTGGAGAGCACGGAGAACTTAACCCGTGGTACATTAGACCCTTCGAGATCCTCGTTAGTAACCTTCAAACTCCGACTACCTTCAGAACGTAGCAGCAACCATCTGGTATTCCATGTCTTTATTCGTAAGAAGTACTCACTCGACGAAACCCTAGTAATCCCTTCAATGTGACCGAAACCAATGAAAGTCTGAACCTCTTGGAGAAATTAATAGAAACCATAGATCGAGAGATTAAACATATGAAACAAAACCGTATCACGATAACGAAGGTTCACTGGAATGCCATACGAAGACACGAATTCATTAGGAGCGTAAGGATCCGATAAAATTCAAGTATCCGTGTCTCTTTCAAAATCCTTGAGTCACATTTAAAGTTTGAATTTCGGGACGAAATTCCCTCTAACGGGGGATAATGTGACAACCCGAAGTTTGTCCATCGCTGTAACCCATTCTGTCCATAAAATCCGTTTCTTTCGAATTGTATCCGTTTAAGTTTTAAAATAAGTCATTATCTTTGAGATTTATATTATGACTTAATGGATGTCTAAACATGTTTAGAACTCATGTTAACACTCCATATTAGTGATTGAAATCATTTTAGTTTCAACCATGTCACACCCCAAAACCACGAACGGCGGAAACGTTAAGGGGTGGAGGACGTCATGTACAGTATCACAACAGTGTAATATAATAAATAAGCAACAACATCATCCATTGCATTATAAGTAAAGTTTTAATACATGTGTGTTTCTTTCATTGTAGTAAGACACTAAAAATATACAATCAAAATAAAAGACGAGACTTGTCTGCTCCGTCTTCTCAAAACCTGGCCTCCGTACCTGTCTACTGATGACCTGAGAATACAAGTT